GAAAAAAAATTAAAAAAAAAAATTACATCTTTCTTAAGTGGTTTTCCTTTAAAAAAAACTAGACTATGAGGTAGGAGAATCTAACTGACCCTTGAGATCATAAAATATGGTTAAGTGTTCTAGAGATACACATCATGGCTCTGGTTGGTTCAGTCTTAACTATCCGAGCCTTTATCAATCTATTTTCCTTCATTTAGTGTCTCTTTCATGCCAGTGTAAACTTATTGTTTCTAAAGAGGATTAGACACAAACTCATAACACAATTTTGTGTAAAATTTTAAACTTCTCAAGAAAAGGTAATAATTTACAGAACTACAATATTTCCAAATAATAGAATCACTCTGTATTTTGGTTGCTGAGAGTTACCAAAATGTCTATAGGATCTATGGGTTTAATTCAGGAGGAGTCACTGCACTTGAACTTCATAGCTACTCTGAGAATACTGTGCATATGCTACATATTTAAGTCAAGTCACCACCATTTTCTCCTGCTCTGCAAGAGCAGACATTAGTGTGTAGCCATTACTCAAAAATCGTAAAAATTGCAATTTCACATGGTTCAGCCTAAACTTATTTTGCTTATAGCATACTTTTAAAAACCGCTTTGGGGGAAAAACAGCTTTTGTATTTGTTTTACCACAACTATTATTTTTGTTTTATAAAAATCACTTTGGGTGGGAGAGGGAAATGAGGAGTTATTGTTCAATAGGTATACAGTTTGAGTTAGGTAAGATGAAAGAATTCTAGAGATCTGCTGTACAACAATGTGCACATAGTTAACACTACTATACTGTACACTTAAAAATTTGAGAGATTTCATATCATTTTATATTACAGAAATTATAATAATAAAAAAGACAAGCTTAAAAAGAGAGCTCCCAATTTCCAGGCCATGCTTCTCTTGGCTGGTGAAAATAAACATAATTATGAAGAGCTTCTTAAAAATCAGTTTTTTATGGCATTTAATTATACCAGAGAATGTTTCATACAGTTTTCACCCTAGCTTAAAGTTCCAACTTTGTATTCTTTATGATGCTTTCCATATAGTACTGGGTGCTCAATGTCAATTTATTAAATAAGTTAATATTAGTAAAAGCTATCAATTTTCAAGGGTTTTCTTTATTGAGGAAATAGATCTAGGGCTAGAGAATCGTTAAACACATACTAAGTACTTTTTTTCTCTCACTTCTCATTCCTTGTACTCAATTACATTAATACTTTCGAAGCACATCTACTGAATTCTTTAATTCCTTCTTCACATATCTGTTGAGCCCTTACTGTGTTCCAGGCAGGAGCCTGGAGACAAACTACAAAACAATGCATGAAGCATTGAGGAAGCACCTTCCTTGGATAGAGAACACAAGGGAACCTTTAAAACCAAGCAACACTAGAGGCAATACTTTAAGGATAAGTGGAATCATCACAATTTTGTTTCATAAGGATGAAAAATTTTTTGAAAAAACTCCACTGAAATTCAGAAATTCAACTAGCTGAGTTTTGTAAACCAGCCCCCCCCCCCAGACAAACACCAAATCCCAAAACTACAGTTTGTATTGAACTTGACTGTATAAACCAGATAGTTCAAGTACAGAGATAAAAATTCCAACTTCAGATATTTAATTTATGCAATGCAAAGACAATTCATCATTTATATCCAGAAGGTACTCTTTGCCAGCACGAATATATATTAACATCTATAACTTCTACAAATGTAGAATTAAATTTATTACTATTTGATGGCAAATTAAACTACAATATGACAAAATACAGGTTCAAATGTAGGAGAACTTAAAAACAAGTCCTTGGGGAGTCAGTGAAGAGTTCATGAAGAAAAGTCATACACCGACCTTCAAAAAAGAGTTGAAACTTGCCCACTCAATCTCTCCTTCCAATAAGTTTTTGGGTTAACTTCAAGGCTACCAAAACCAGATCAAGTTCAATCTTCACTGACACAAAGCTAAACTAAACTTTTTTGTGGTTATTAGATATACCTCCATATTTGACAGCCAGCCTTTAGAGGAAGGGACCACCTCATCTTTAATAGGGAGTATGGAGAAAGCTTCAGGATTTCAAATACATAAATGGACATAGTGGGACAAATTTTTTAAACTTCTTAATATATTCTGCTAACATTATATCATTTATATAGCATTATGAGTACAGAACAACAAAACTTAAACTGTTAAAGAGAAAGCCAAATGGAGCTACATCTTGACATATCTAGTGAAACCATTTCAATAAAACATATTTGGCAGAACCATAATCTATTAAAGCTAGCTTCAAGTTAATATTTTTATTGCTAGTGTTGAAATTTCCTCCAATAGTAAGATAAGGCTTATATTCAGACAAAATCAATTTTTAATTCTGATAATTGTAATTTACCCCAAAATTTAAAGTTTTGTCTAATATTTTCTTGCAATACAATGTAACTTTTTTCTTCTTTTTTAAGGAAGCAAAGTATCTCTAAAGAAATAACTGCTGGGGCGCCTGGGTGGCTCATTCGGTTAAGCCGCTGATTTCGGCTCAGGTCATGATCTCACAGTCCATGAGTTTGAGCCCCCCCGTTGGGCTCTGTGCTGACAGCTCAGAGCCTGGAGCCTGCTTCGGATTCTGTGTCTCCCTCTCTCTCTGACCCTCCCTCGTTCATGCTCTGTCTCTCTCTGTCTCAAAAATAAACAAACATTAAAAAAAATTAAAAAAAAAAGAAATAACTGCTGAATTTGCAGGACCTTTGGAGTACTTGTAACTACATGCCTTACTGACACACAGTTAAATATTTAAAGAGGTGTTTCCTTTCTCTAAAGACCCAGAGGGGCAGTATCGTACTTAGCTTCTGGAAATCAAGTCCATACTCAAAAATCCTCCAGAAGGTCAGCCTTGGTGGTGGACTCGGAAGCCGCCAGCATGGGTTCTCCCTCCAGCTCCAGAAATATACTTACTTTCCACTCACTCCTTTTGGCCAGCACGTTCTCCCAGTCCAGAAGTACTAGGTATCAAAGATCCCGAGAACATTTAAAATATGTATTTTATGCCCTACCTACGTTTACATCTTGGGATGTAAACACACATAAACACAAACACGGAAACACCGTACTCCACCACAGGAAGACCGAAAGGAGCCAGCTCGCCCCTGCCACGCTAGTGGCTCAATTCCCTGTTATCCAGGTTATCGCAGCTCCGCCTATAGCTTGACAAATAGCCAATAGCGTGTAAAGACTCTAGGAAGCGCGATGACGTAAGCATGGACGTTCACGTAGTGACGCAGGCGGCGTTACCGTCTCCAAGGAGCGGTCCAGGGCACCGGTTTCAAAGTCGTAGGGCGGGCCGGGTGGACTTCCGCAGTTGGCCCCGGGTTTCCCCGCGGTCCTGAAGTCAACGCCCCCCCCACGCCCCCCCCCGAAACGCTCCTTCAAGGACGCCTCCACCCGGCCTCCTGGCTGGCTTCCTTGGCTCTCTCCTAAGTGGCCCGACACGACCCCGAGTGACCTGCGGGACGTCTATATCCACCCGCGTCTCCTTTTTACCCGGCTGGGATTCGAACGAACGTGGAACAAAATTAACTTGGCGGGTCCCCAGCAAACCTGAAACCTGAAGTCTGTCGGCTGAGCGAGGAGGGGCTCGGCTGGGACTCAGGAGAAGGCGCGGCGGGGCTGTTGACGCCGCGTGAGTAGGATACTGATTACACTGCTGAGTGCTTGACAACCTCCAGCGTTGCTTTAGTTTAGCTTTCCCGGACAGCGAGCTCTCTGGGGTTTTTTTGTTTTTGTTTTTTAAGAAAGTGAAGGTGGTAAAAGCTCCAGACTGAAATTGTATCGAAATGGCCACGGAAACCGACTTTCTGAGAGACCAAAGTAAGCTCCATATTCTTTTATTTGAGAATTCTTACATGTTTAATGTCGTCATCGCTAACCAACTAACATTTTTCGAATGCCTGTTCGGTGCATGGAAATTTGTAAAAAGTTAGCTTTACAAAAAGCTTGGTGGTATGCATGAGGATGTGTATGTACTTAAGCAGAACCGTTTGGTAAATCCTTGTACGTTCCTTTAGCTTATATGGAACTCTACTAGACACCAAACATGGTTGTTATGCTCCTCGCATAACTGGAGAAATTAGAAGGCTAATGTCCAGGAGGAGTTTCCAAGTTTGCCATTAGAACCTAGAGGCACAGTTCTGGCCATTTGTAAATAGATTTTTATTGAACTACTCCTGTTTCAGTTATGCCAGACTCTGTACAGACATAGCTGCTGCTGCAAAGATGAGGAAGACAGTTCTACCTTCCAAGAATTTGAGAAAAGAAATGTGTAAATTCCATAAATACACTGAAGTGGAAGCAACCGCTCTTTTGCCTCAGTTTCCTTATAGGGTTGTTGGAATGATTAAATGAGTATTAAATATGTAAAGGATTTAGAATACTATCTGACACATAGAGGTAAACAAATATTGACTATTACAGGATTATTATTAGCTGTGGTCAAGAAAGGTGTCATTTGGCCTGAAACTTGAAGTACTAATATGAATATAGATAAAGAATTGTGTAGGTATCCCAAAGAGGATAGTATTGCAGCTTTGAAGGAATTAGGACTATGTTTTGTGAAAGACTTGGAACAAGGTTGGCTTGTACGAAATGTGGTTTATATAGGCAAATAGCAAGTAGACCTAAAGGGAAGAATGGGGCTGGATGGTGAAGGGCCTTGTCTTCTGTGTGTTGAGTTTGGACCATAACACAGGTTATTGGAGCCAGGGAAAGGAACTCACTTGAGAGTAACATGATCGGATTGTGATTTGGAAAGCCTGGTGTGGCTGTTATGAGGAACATGCATTTTAGCAGAGTACAAGTTAGGTGACTATTGTTACCATTCACATAAGGGGTGAGCTTAGGTAGTACGGTGATTGGAGATTAGGGAATTTGAGAGAAAGAGGTAGAGGGCAACTGAGATTTTTGTGTTAAGGAGTGGGAAGGTGGGAAAAAAGGTAGTAAGTTCCATTTTGAAAGCTTTATAAACCAGTGGTTAAAAAAAAAACAAAAAAACAAAACAAAAACCAGTGGTTAAAGACTCAACCTCTACATTGAGTCTGTCTAGGTTCATATCCTGGCTTTTTCTTTTTTCAGGTCTTTGACCTGACCCTAGCTTCGCTGTGCATCAGTTTTCTCATTTCTAAAATGGGTATAATAGCACAATAACTCTCATAGGGTTGTAAGGATTAAATGAGATGATGTAAATCGCTTAGCATGATTTCTAGTCCATATTAAGTGCATTATGTATATTTAAAATTATTAATGCCCTGTAATGGTACTATATTATTATTTCTGTGTTTTAAGTGGGAGTATCTGCCATCCCTAAGGAAGACTAGCTAGCCATCAGCTGAGTGGTGTGGGATAAGAACTGGGTGATAAGTAGTTTGGTTGGGGTGGGGAAGGTACCTAAGTTACACAGAAACAATGAGTTTTAGAGGAGTGAGCTAGCCATTTTTTTGTTTTAACTGGACCTAGTGTGCCATTTACAGCTGGGTAGATTACCCAGTTAGACAAAACACCTGGACACCACCTGAGGTAAATATAGATGGCTTGACCCTCTCCCACCTACTCTGACCTTCTCTGCATTAACTTCAATTGATCTTGATTGTCTCTTTTCATTTGTTCCATTTGGATTTGTTAATCCAGTTCGAGACAGTTTGATTTGGCATTTCTCAACTGGCAACCCCTGTGATAAAAGCATTAGCTTTACAACTAACTACAGGCAATTGCAGACCTAACCATGCTCCTAACAAACTAGCATTTTTGTAGTATACCATTCTTCACCTCCATCTGAGAAGGGAAATCTGATAGTCCTTAGGAAACTGTTCAAAGAGATACTTATTTATTAAGCTAAGGAATGAAAAAACCATTCTTGTGGTAGGAATTTGGGAAGTGGTGATTATTATTTTTTTTTATTCTTTAAGTGTTCTTCACGGAGAGGTTTTTAATTTTGACTAAATTCTCAATTTGTTCTTTTATGGATGTCATATCTAAGAAATCTTTGTTTAATCAAAGGCTGCAAACATTTCCTTCTATGTTTTCATCTAGAAATTCCGTAATTTTAGGTTTTATATGTAGATTTATGATCTGTTTGACTTAAATTTTGTACAAGGTGCAAGATAGGGGTCAAAGTTCATCTTTTTGCATATGGATACAATTGAAAAGACTGTCCTTTCTCCATTGGATTACCTTGGCATCTTTGCTAAAAATCAGTTGTCCTTATTTGTGTTGATCTATTTCGGGACTCTATTCTGTTCCATTGATTTGTTTATCTATTTGAGTACCAGTATCCCAATGTTTTGATTATTGCAGCTTTATAGTAAGTCATAAAATCAGATGATGTTAGTCTTTCAGATTTGCTCTTTTTCAGTTATTTTGGCTATCCTAGGTACTTTGCACTTCATATGAATTTTAGAATCAGTTTGTCAATTTCTTCCAAAAAAGATGCTGAGATTTTGAGAGACATTGCATTGAATCTATTGATCAATATGTGTAGAATTCATATCTAGTGATATTGAGTCCTCTTACCAATGAAAAGGTATATTCTCTCCATTGATGTACCTATTCTTTTATTTCTCTCCGCAATATTTTGTAGTGTTTAGTGTATGGATTTTGCATATCTTTTATCAGACTAATTCCTATGTATTATGTTTCTGATACTATAGTAAATGGTATTCTTTTACATTCAGTTTCTGATTTATCATTACTAATGTACAGAAATACTTTTTCTTTTTGTCATATTGTATTCTGCAACCTTTTAAACCCACTTGTTCTAGTAGGGTTTTTTTTAGAGTTCATCAGATTTTTTATATATGGATGATCTTTTCATCTGTCAGTACAGTTTTACTTCTTCCTTTCCAATTTGGATGCCTTTCATTTCATTTTCTTGCTTTATTGTATTGGCTAGAACTTCTAGTATACAATGTTGAACACACGTGGTTGAAGTGGACATCCTTGTCTTCTTCCTGATCTTATAAAACAAGCATCTGTCTTTCAGAATTAAGTATGATACTAACTAGATTTTTCTTAGATGTTTTTCAAGGGTTGAGGATATTCCTTTCTATTCCTGGTTTTCTGCGAGTTTTTTTTTTTTTTTTAATGTTTATTTACTTTTGAGAGAGACAGAGAGAGAACCAGCAATGGAGGGACAGAGAGCGAGGGGAACAGAGGATCCAAAGCAAGCTCTGCACTGACAACAGAGAGCCTGACATGGGGCCTGAACCCATGAACCATGAGATCATGACCTGAGCTGAAGTGGAACGCTCAACTGACTGAGCCACCCAGGCGCCCCATCTGAGAGTTTTTAATCAGAATGGATGGTGATTTTTTTTTCCTAATGCTTTTTCTGCATTTATTGAGAAGATTGTTTTTTGTTTGTTTTTTTTTTTCACTTTTAGCTTGTTAATAGGGTGACCACTTAACATTGATTAATTTTCAGATTTTAAGCCTGCCTTACCTTTCTTTTGGGGATAAACTCCTCTTGGTCATGTATTATCCTTTTTATATGTTGTTAGGTTTGATTTTCTAAAAGTTTATTTACAGTTTAATTTTCTATGTTCATAAAGCCTTTTTTTCCCCTTTAATGTCTTTGTCTGATTTTGGTGTTAGGTGATGCTTGCCTCAAAGAATTTCTTGGAAAATATTTTGTTCTCTTTAATTTTCTGGAAAAGTTTGCATAGAATTGGCATTATTTCTTCCTTAAATGTTTGGTAGAATTTACCAGTAAAGCCAGTGGGACCTAGAGTTTTCTTTGTGGAAAGATTTTAAACTGTAAATTTAATTTCTTTAACAGATAAAGAGCTACTCAGTAGTCTGTTGTGTACTGTTGTATACAGAGCGACCCTCCACAGATTTCATATATCCAGAGTTCTCTCTCTGTGTAGCTTTCTGTCTCATATTTTGTCCTGCCAATTCTAATTCACTTGGTCTCCACCACTTCTTAGCTGCGTTTCCTTAGAGTCTGCTGAGTCTGCTCAGTCATAGAGTCTGCTGAGTTATCCCTGCATTTTCCCTCTTTGTGCCATGGCTTGGAAAGTCTCTTAGGTCATTAAGCTGGAGCAATTATAGGGCTCACGTCATTTGTTTTGCATCTCTCATCATCGTCTATTGTCTAC